TCTCTGTGTGTGTGTGTGTGTGTGTGTGTGTGTGCGTGTGTGTGTGTACTTGTATGTGTGTGTACAAACTATCATTGTGTGTTACATTCACTTCACCAACGCCCGGTCAGATATCAGAGACAAGCAAGATCGAGCTCTCTAACAAGCCGATCAAACTAACAAACACACCGACAAACACACTGACAAACCAACAGCGTTCAAGGACTGGCCATAAGGAGAAGCCTATGGCAGAAAGATCATTAATGTTCGTTCACCAAGATTTTTATCCGCACGATTTTCCTTTTGCGTTTAGCGCGAACGTTTTGAATTCCCGATTTAAATCGGCTGTGATCTTTTCGCGTTTAGAATCGTTTCTCTCTTTTATGCCCTGATATCTTCCAGAAAGCTCGCTAATTTATAATACTTTGTTAAAATTTAGTTTTGTTACCCCCCCCCCCCGACCCAAATCAACACAGTCTAGATCATTTAGGAGGCGGGCTTCCGACCCTGTCTGTCAGGGCTAACCCGGTAAATGAGAGGGATACAACATCCCTGGCGACAGAAAAGACCGAGATTCTTTATAAACCATTTTCCTCCGTTCTCCCGCGTGCAACAGCGAAGCGCGCTACACCACAGGAGCCGCTTGCAACGCCGTCTGGTCAAATGAGTGTTGAATGGATACTAGTAATAATAATATGTCTACTTTATTTAGGGTTTCTTGCTTAACCCTATCCGTACGCCGTGGGGTCATTTTGTACCCCGGGGCTGTATTCTTCACATTTTAGAATATTTCTAGTACGAAAATCTCTTAGAAACTTTCAGTATTTCTCCAAAAATCTTTTTGACAGACTGTTATCTAAGCGCACGGATCGGATTAACGAGTAAATTTCCTCTTTGGAAAGTGGTGGCACACACAGAGTTCCCCACGTCGTATGGATACGGTAGTAAAACACGAGGTACAGATAGGGTTATATCGATATAAAGTTATATATATTTTTTGTTTGTTGAAGTCTTGACTTCCGAACAGGCCAGTAGGGAGAAGAAAAAAAGAACAAGAGGAAGACAGTTGTCCAAAAGAGGCAAACCCCC